TCAAAGCAGTAACATGACCCTAAAAAAGGAATGAACATCCAAATAGCAAAACTAAGAAACTCAAACAGGAGATATATGATGGGATATTGTAAATTCAGCAAATATGTCTTAGAAATATGAAAGTTAGTTGAAAGAACCCTTAGACAAATTGATTTTTTAAAAATTCTTGAAATGTTAAATAGTCGGCAAAATAGAAAAAGAAACCCGACAAAATAAAATAAATCTCAAAACATTGAGGAAGCCGTGGAATATGATAAATTGGATACACAATTTATGTGTATGACAAATATGTTGCTAAGCAAAAGGATCACGAAGCAAATTAGCTTTGTGTCAACAGACATGTTCCGGGGCTGCTCAGTCCACAGCTTGATAAAAATGTAAATAACGCACTACATTCCTTACGCCAGACTGACTGGATTTTATCTACATTTGGAATTGCCATCATCTTTTTCTGAAAACATTAATATTCTGATCTCATTAATATGTGAAAATTTTGGGAAACGTGCCACTGTAAACTGTGTCAATTTAATCAGGCCCTCCACAGCCCAGAGTGGCCTGCCCCCTTCTCAGAGACACCCACCACCAGACCAACCCACACCAGCCAGTGAGACGCCAGCACGCACCCCCCTTCCTTTCCCGGGTCCCTTTGCACACAATCAGCTGACTCAGTTGGGCGGGAACCCATGAGACTATCAAACACTGGAGCAGGAGCCACTGGAATGTTCTGTCTTTCTCATATAGCTAAACAATAGCATAATTAAGTCACAAGTGACAGAAATCAGATCCACTAAATGCAGAAGGCCCAGTAGAGGGGCTATAAGTCTCCCTAAAAAGCCATGTTTTTCTACAAATCCCAGATGAAAGGACTTGGTTCCTGCCCCTCATGCAGCTTCTAGTCCATTGGGAAGAAAGGTAGATATGTAAACCAATTGTTCAAATGCGTTTAGTCACTGTGGTAATAGCCACACATACCAGGCAGAGCGCATACAAAGTCAAGGAACGTCTCAGGAGGAGGCAGCATTAGAGCTTCGAGAGGTGGTGGTGAGGAGTTCGTTCTTGACTGAGGCAACACATTGTAAGTGTGTTTGGGGACTTACAAATAATTGGAGTACAGTTAGAACTGTGCTGTGCTGTCCAATACAGTAACCACATGCGGCTATTACATACTCGAAATGTGCCGTCTAAATTAGATGTGGATGTGCTATAAATGTAAAATACACGCGGGATACACATAGGATTTCAAAAACAGTGTGAGAAAAAATGTAAAGTGTATCAATTCTGAATATTGATTACATGTTGAAATGATACTATTTTGGATAGTATTGGGGTAAATAAAATATTACAATTAATTTCTCCTGTTTCTTTTTACTTTTTTATGTGACTACGAGAAAATTTTAAATTATACATGTGGCTCATATTAAATTTCTATTGGATAGATCTGGTTAGAGGATAAAATTAGCTCTGGTTAGAGTACAAAATTCTAGGTTGAGAGTGCCAAAAAATTAAATAAAAATAAAAATAAAATAATAAAATAAAGAGGTTAGACATAGAGAAGGAGCCAGATTGCTCAGGTCTTGACCATCACACAGGGAGACCCACAGGGACTCTGAGAAGGGAGGGGAAGGAAATGTCAGAAGTGCCCTTTAGAAAATCACTCTGGAGTGGGTGGAAGAGAGACCAGGGCAAGGAGAAAAACTAGAGGCAGGAAAACTCACAGAGGCAAAAATGAAACCAGTCAATGAGTGATCAACTTGCCTTCTAACCTACTGCATCTGCTCTCAGGGGTACCTAACATTCCCTGTGCCATGGGCCCCCATGGCAATCTGGTAAAGCCTATGGACTCTCTCTCAGATAAATGTTTTTAAACTCGGAAAATAAAACACCCAGGATTACAAAGGAAATCAATCATTGGAATACAGGCATCATTTAAAAAATCTGTTGATATGACAATATGTGTGCTTCTTTTTGACACTTTAAATAAGATGTAGCAGCAGGCCTAACAATTACTGTAATTTTGAAGGATTTATGAACATGAACGATATTTCCAGCAACAGCTACCATGAGACACAATGATATCTGTGCTTCCATTAGTGGTGAAGCCACGGGTACTGCTAACACTGCGGTGGTTTGTTGCCTACATTTACACTCAAAAGAAATGCTAAATTTTAGTGAATGGTTAGTGAAATAAATGTAATTTTTCTGCACCCAAATCATGGACCACCTTGAATTCCTAGGTTAAGAACCCCTGGTAAGATGTTCCTGGGCTTTCCTCAAGAGTAAGCTAAGGCCCCTCTAAAATGGGAACATGGAGGGAGTAACAGTCAGACCCTGTTCTACTTCTAGGACTTATTTTTTCCCACGACCACATCTACGACAGCACAGTAAGCCAGCAGACACAATGGCCCAGAAGATGTTTTAATGGAATACTGGGTGTCTTTGTGTTATGATCAGAACCCACGACCACAGGAACAGGCCCAGGAGACCCAGTGGGAAAATTGTTCGTTAGGGTTTTTCTTTAGTTCTCAAGTGAGTTCATTCCTGCATGGAGGCAAGTTTCTCCTTCTCACCCGAAGGAATTTAGTTGAAAAACAAACACAGCAAAAAGACAAATATTCTATGATTCCACTTATATGAGGTATCTACAGCATTCACATTCATAGAAACAAAGTAGTATGGTGGTTACCAGGGGCTGAGGGGAAGGGGAAAAGAGGAATTATTTAATGGGTATACAGTTTCAGATCTGCAAGATGAAAAAGTTCTGGAGATCTGTTTACAACAATGTGAATATAATTAACACTACTGACCTGTATACTTAAAAATGGTTAAGATGGTACATTTCACATTGTGTGGTTTTTTTTTTTTAATCACAATAAAAAATTGGTTAAAATTGCAAAACAAACAAACCAAACAGGGCACTCAGATCCTAATTCTAGTTCAACTTGTAATTGTCCCCAAGCAGGACAGCCTCAAATGCAGACCTGCTCTACCCAGTACACAGTTTCTTTAGGCATAAAACACATATAAAAATGTTTTTTAAAATGAAGACCCAAGTGTTTTTTAAAAAATTCCTTTATATAACAACAGAACTCATCTTTACAATTCTGGATATTGATTTGCACAGACTAAGACAATCTACTAAGACTAATAACAGGGGCTGACCCGGTCACAGAGTGGTTAAGTTCCCACGCTCTGCTTTGGTGGCTTGGGGTTCGTGGGTTTGGATCCCAAACGTGGACCTCCACCACTCATCAAGCCATGCTGTGGTGGCGTCCCACAAACAAAATAGAGGAAGATTGGCACAGATGTTAGCTCTGGGCCAATCTTCCTCACCAAAAAAAAAAGAAAGAAAGAAAGAAAGAAAGACTAATAACAATAGCAAACAGCACTAATCATGTACGAGGCACTAGTACAAGCACTTTATAAATACTGACTCATTGACCCATTTAATCCTCATCACAATCCTGTGGTGGAGGTCCTATTTTCATCCCCACTTTACAGGTAAGGAAACCACGGCACAAAGAACTAGTAAGTGGTGGAGGCAGATTCAAAACAGGCAATTCTGACTCCAGAGCCAGACCATGAGCACCTGAGGCAGGGACCAGGATTTTTATCTCTGAATTCCAGCACGGAGAATAGTACTGACTCATAATAAATGAATCAGTCAGCAACAATTTCTTGAGCAATCGATTACGACAGAATTGTGAGGCATTTTTACCATTCAGCAGTTCTGAAGAACAAAGATCTTGCTCTCTGCTTCCTTTATTTTTTTTAAACTTGAGAAGGACAAACTTCAGATGACAGATTATTGTGAGTGGGGGTGGGGGCAGGAGAAAGGACTACTGTCATAGGGGGTGGGGGAATGTTGCAATAGGGAAAACGCTCTGACCATAAGATCTCCAACTGCCTCCTTCTACTAATCTTTTAAAAAAGGATTAAAGCGGAGCCAGCCCGGTGGCGCAAGTGGTTAAGTGTATGCGCTCCGCTGTGGCGGCCCGGGGTTCGCCGATTTGGATCCCGGGCGCGCACCCATGCACCACTTGGCAGGCCATGCTGTGGCAGCATCCCATATAAAGTGGAGGAAGATGGGCACGGATCTTAGCCCCGGGCCAGTCTTCTTCAGCAAAAAAAAAGAGGAAGATTGGCAGATGTTAGCACAGGGCTGATCTCCTCACACACACCAAAAAAAAACGGATTAAAGCAATTCTCCTAACTTCCCAGTGCTTGGGACTGGTGGTCACTACCAAAGACTCTAACCCACCTTGCCACTTGGTCATCTCTCATAGCCAGGAGAGGTGGGGAAAGGAGTGAATAAGAGACAGAAAGGCCTGTTTGCAGACCAACAAAGAATTCTAGGAACTGGTCTAAAACTACATATGCAAGGGAGGGAAAGAAGGGAAGGCCCTAAAAGTCACCAAAAATATCAAGGGGTGGCCCGGTGGCATAGTGGTTGAGTTTGTGTGCTCAGCTTTGGCGGCCTGGGGTTTGCTGTTTTGGATCCTGGGCACGGACCTACTCACCACTCATCAAGCCATAGTGAGGCGGGGTCCCACATAGAAGAGCTAGAAAGACATACAACTAGGATGTACAATTATGTACTGGGGCTTTGGGGAGAAAAAAAGAAAAAGAGAAAGAATGGCAACAGATATTAGCACAGGGCCAATCTTCCTCAAAAAAAAAAAAAATCAAGGGGAGACCTCAAAAGGGCTGGGGGTGGGAGGAACTCCTCATGGCTCAACAACCACATTCTGCCAACTCAGGAGGAAGCAGCTGCATTTCTAAACATACCAGGCTAACACTCAGCCCCAATCCACAAAGCCATTCTCTGTTGAGGTATCACACGCGTGTGCCAAACATCAGCAGCATTTCAGACAGGTGTGACAGAAACCTGTGCTCCCCACGCAGCACGCAGGGGATGCTCCTGGGAGAAGACAAGGACTCAGGCCACAGTGGAGTCACTCCAGATTTCTGTTGGGCACGGCAGGGAGGTGGTCAGGACTCACCTGTAGGTGTATGGCCCCACTTCTTCCAGCCAAGGGGTCTCCCCTCTGAGGATCTCCTCTGGATTGGTGACATTGAAGAAATAGAACTGGCAGTACACGGGCAGAGGGGGCTTCTTCCAAGAGTCAAATGTCTCGGAACCATTCATTAACACAATATTCTAGGAGAGAAAACCAAAAGGAGATTTACAAAGTGTAAGGCAGTTGGCTTTGAACACAGAGGCAGAGAGAGGAACACTCCTTACTCTGACCTTCTAGCTCGCTTATTTTTTTCACAGGCACTCAACTGCAGTCTCTTGAGAGCAGGACCATGCCTTATGCCTATATGAAGCCCACAGCCCTATTAAACCGTAAAAGGTCTTCAGTAAATATTTGTGGTAAAGGAAGGATGCTGGAACCATGGCTCATGGGTGGAAACATGATGTTACCAAAACCAAGGCCACAGATTGAGAACCCAAAAGGCCCTATTGGCTTTGTTACAAAGATTCCACTGAAAGAACAGCAGCTATGGCAGTCAGGCCATTCTGAGAAGCACCATGGACTTCCAGCTGGCCCACATGAGAGAAGAATAGGGAGACAGGCCCAAGAAGGCAAGCTTTGGTCCTTTCATTTGCGGTAGAACCACACCACCCATACCACCTCCACACCAGGGGTGGTATATGCATTTTCTCATTCAATCCCCAACAAGCCCATAACATAGAGATGTCTATCCCCCTGTTTTCAAGATAAGAAAGCTGAGCCTCACTGAAGTTAAGTGCTTAGGGTATTCTCTGTCTACAGTCCTTCGTTTCCCACCCTTATCATGTGTTCTGGACTAAATTGTGTCCCCTCAAAATTCGTATATTGAAGTCCTAACCTCCACTACCTCAGAATGTGACTGTATTTGGAGATAGGGTCTTTAAAGAGAAATTTAAGGTTAAATGAGGTCATTAGGGTGGGCTATAATCGAATATGACTGATGTCCTTATAAGAAGAGGAGATCAGGACACAAGGGAGAGATCATGTGAAGACACAGGAAGAAGACAGCCATCTACCAGCTAAGGAGAGAGGCCTCAGAAGAAATCAACCTTGCTGACACCTTGATCTCAGACTTCTAGCCTCCAGAACTATGAGAACTGTTGTTCAAGTCACCCAGTCTGTGGGATTTGTTACAGAATCCCTAGCAAACTAATACACCATGGCCCCCCTATGGGAAGAGTATTCTTCCCACCCTACTGATTTCAGGCTTGGCCAAGTGACTTGATTTGAGTAACAGAATGTAGGTGAAATGGCAATGCCCCAATTTTGAACTAAGGCCTTAAAAGGCATGGCAAGTTTCCACCAGCCACCCTCTGCCAAGAGAACAGCATGCCCCAGGTAGCTGTTGACCCTTCAGCCAAGGCCCTAAAATGATGATGTGTGGACCACACGTGAAGCCTGGAGTCCAGCCTAGTTCAGCTGAGCCAGCCAAGCTCAAACTGCAGCCAACCTGCACAGCTGAGTGTGCAACAAATGTTACTGTTACAAGCTACTGAGATTTGGGTTTGTTTGTTATCCAGCATTGCAATAGAAGCCTGATTAACACAGCACCCAAGGTTAACAGACACAAACCTCATATCTAGCAGTCCTAATGGTCCTTAATTTGTTAATGGAAAAACACTGCATTTTTACAGTAAAAATTGTTGAAGTACACATGAAAGATAAAAGCACACACTGAGAATAAACAAACCAAAATGTGCACAGTGATTAACTCTGTGTGTTGGAAATTTGGATCATTGTTATTTTCTCTTTGATGAGATTCTGTATTTTCCAAATTTTTTATAATGAATAAAAAATTCACATTGAGAAAATTTTTAAAAAGAAAATGGAAAGAGAAAAATTGATAGAGACAATGTAAGGCCACTAGTGAAACCATAAGAACCAGATGGCAAAAGAAGCATCCTCTGATGTCACCTGTTTCTTCTCTGGCAGTGAGGCTTTGGGTGACAATAAACAAAGGGACCAGCTTCAAAAAATGTTAGAAACCACACGCTAAAACACACAAATTTTAGTAGTCCAGCCTCTAATTTAACAGAAGCAATGTTGCAAAGGAGCTTAATGATATTGTTCTACCATTAAATAGAAAATATTCCAACAATCTCTGCAGGGAAAAACAAAGTGGCTCTGGAATAAATGAACGCAGAAGACCTAAGTTTGTCAAAGCAAAGCTCGTCATCTGGAGGGCTGGAAGCAAATTCACATCCATGAGTTGGCCGTGTCATAGAATTGGGGATGACTTGTGGTTTGGCATCAGTTCAGAACATCTAATCACCAGATTTCTATCCAAATGACACATTATTGAAATATTCTTGGCCTTGACTATCAGTACTGATTTACTGAGTTGAGATCAGATTGGTGAGACAGAAAAACTTTAAGACAAACCATGAAACCCCTTTCCTCCAACCTTCCGGGTCCGGCTCAGACGCTGCTCTCGTTGGTGAAGCCCTCCCCACCTGGCCCCACACACTTTGATCTTCCCTGCCCCAGTCACCGAACAGTCTAATCAGTCATTTTAGGTGGTTTTTTAAGAGCTTTGTGGTCTTTTATCTTATCTTCTAAACAAAAGTCTTGGCTTTCCGAGGAGGAGCAAGGGAGAGAGAGTCAGGCCCAGAGAGCGAGAGTGCACCAGAACTGGAAAGGACCTCTAGGCCCTGGAAGGGTAAGGGACTGTGCTCAAGGTCACACAACTACTTAATGTCACAGCTGGGTCTGGGACCCAGTGTGGCTTTTCTCCACTCTCCCACCATACCTTTGCATACAACACTTTAATAAAATGGGTATCAATACACTACATATTTTAGTTATACAAGTATATGGTAGAGTTTCTCCACCATAAAGTACACATCTAGACCTAGAAACAGCTCAGTAACATAAATTTAACCTACCTAAAACTAATATGTTAACTATGAGAAGTCTAACATAAATAATAATTTGTCTTCAGAGGATTTTGAAGGCTCATAGATATTTTAAAAGTTGTCTGATTTCATTGAAATAAGAACTTCTTCTTGTCTATAAATTTCCAGAAAAGGGCAGGGCAATAACTTTCCCTCCTCCATGAATTCCTTGAGTAGCCCCCTTCAACTGGATGATCATCCTTTCCTTTGAACCTCATAACACATTACATAGGAATTTCTTAGGGAAAAAAGTGGTCAGGACAGAAAACGTCTTCTAAAAATTGAAGTTAACAGGAATCAACTTGAAGCAAGTGATATTTGCAACCAAAAATGAAAGTGCAGCTACTCAATATGGTGATGTATTAAGTTAACCGTAGGCTTATCAAAACAGAAGGTGGTGACCCACAAAAAAAGAGTAGGGTTTTTTTTCCCTTTAATCTTCCCCACAGTGTCTAGGACAATGCAGTTCTTGGAGAAATATCTGTTCAATCAACAAAATATAGTACTAGAACACTTTTACATTAGCTTCCATCGACTCTGCTTATAAGACAGTGCAGAGAAGAACTGAATATGAGGCAATCAGAGATGAGCAGAAGAAAGGCATGAACGGTCAATGCAAAGCCACGGTGCCAGGCCTTGTAACAGGAGCTTGACAGCTCCAAATCCAAGGAGGGCCTTTAATGTGTACCCAGAGGAAGTGGTTGTTCATTGGCCATTTTAGTCACATTCAGATATGGAGAAAGCAATAGCTGCATTAGAATCACAGGTACTAATCATAGATCTAGCACCTATCAGTTTGTGTATCTTAGAAATCCAGCACCCTAAAGAGCTAAGTGCAGCCAGTTCCTTTTGTGGGTAGAAAGAAAAATCTGTGTCCCTCCATGACCTCTATTCGTAACAACTATTTAAAGTAGTGCTATACCCATGGTTTTCTTGCAAAGTATAGAACTATGCATGCAAATCATCAAAGCACTGTGTAGTATGTGCTAGGAGATACCCAGCAACATAGATACGGTTTTTGTGTTCCAGGAGCTTATCCTCTATTCAGGGGAATATTGATACACACATGCAAGATAATCAACGATATAAAGTAGCATGTGATAAATGGCCAATGAGTACACCAGACAATGGTCTCTACAGTGTTCAGACAATGGATTCTATGAACTGAGATGGAGAAAGGTGGTGCTTAAAGTAAGCTGGGAATAGTGAATAAAAATTTGGCAAGCAGAGGAAGGTCATGGGGGTGGACGCCTTTTGGACAGCCAGGGTTGATTCACTTATCCTGTCTGCCTGGACAGAGTGAGCTCTTCCTCCCTGCGCTGTGTCCATCTCTCCTAGAGTCCTCTGCTTAATCAGAAAGATAGCAGATGTGGAGAATGAGACAATAAAAGACACACAGGTGGGACAGTATTAGGTGTGACTGGTTTTATGCGGAGTAGGGAGATTCTTTTAGAGAAAGAGGTTGGGGTCATAGGAGTCTAGACATATACAATGGGGAGCCATGGAAGGTTTTTGAGATGCAGATTATCAAGAGCCAGACACTACAGGTTGCCACCTTATCTCATCCCTAATCCCCCTAATAGTCTACCAGGTGAAAATCACCTTCCCCATTTTATACTTCAGGAGATGTTAGGAGAATTTGCTAGTAGTGGGTGGAGCCAGCCTCCCACCCCAGGACTCACTCCAAAGCTGTGCTCCTGGCAATGCTGAATTTTATCGGAGCACGGAAAACAGCAATAGTTCAGGAATCTCCCTTTCCGTGCTCCAGGAATGGCTTACTGCAAAGAAACACCCTTCCCCATATGACTTAGATAAGATTCACAGATGCCCCCCCCTATTTACCTAAGACAAGGCCAGACACAGACCCTCTAGATTTCCATTTTTTGCCTCATAATTGGTTAGCTGAACCACTTGTTCCCACTGATCAATGGCACAACATGCTGGTTAATGTACAGCATGGTGACTATAGTTAATAATACTGTATTGTATATTTGACAGTTGCTAAGAGAGTAGATCTCGTGTTCTCACCACACACACACACAAAGACACACACACAAAGGTAGCTATGGGAGGTGATGAATACGTTAATTAGCTTGATTGTGGTCATCATTTCACAATGTATATACATTTACCAAAACATCATGTTGTGCACCTTAAATATATACAATTTTCATTTGTCAATCATACCTCAATAAAGTTGGGAAAAAAAATGCTTGTTAGCCAAACTCTGGCTAAGTTTCTCTGCTTCC